CAGGCTTTAGGTAGTTATATATAAGCAAAATTGCCTTCCCGACATTTTTACTTAGCTTACCCAAGGTAGGTTTAGACTCCTATTTTTTGTATTTTCAAGTTTTTTTTCTTTTTTTTCTTTTTTTGCTTCATCAAAATTCTATAATTTGATTGGTCTATATCACGTGATTCTGCTCCACTTTAGACGACCCCTAATATAAGTAATAATGAGATAATACTCAGCCCAGCTTCGTTATTTTTGTAAGAAAATTTCTTTTACAAAAATTTTTAAAAAAACTTTGCAAAAAATCTTTTAAAAAAAAAGTTAAAAAAAAAAAAACCTTTTTAAAATACCAAAAAATTTCAAAAATGTCTTCTCCAGTTGTATATATTTATTAAATATAAACTAATTTTAGTTCTAATATGTATATTAAATATATTAATTTTATTTAATATTTATTGTAGAAATCTAACAATGGCCGTCAATTAAGACTCAATGCCATTCAAAATCAAGATTTGTTAATAGAGTAGTCAATATTGACATTGAAATTCCTCCTCCAGTTGCGCCGCAGTAATACCCGAAGCCTTGTAACTCGGACCAAGTCTTTCACGCCTTCCACTTCAAGAATTTTGGAGTCTTGGACGATTGTTGGATAGATTTAGTGTAGTAGATTAGTTTGGTTATTAGTCTCAACTTTTGTCCTGACATCACATCACCACTTTCTCAACGTACATTACATTATATAATTTTTCTTAACTATACGCAGAAATCGGTCTTGGCCATAGCAGACAAGTTTTTCGCACGTACAAAATAATATAATAATAGCTCTATAACAACCTTATTTAATTTATTAAGTAAAAATATTTCGCTCCTAATTTTACATATAACTATGTGACTTGATATAATTTTTGAACCTTACAAAATGTTTGGGCTTAGTCGTTGGACATAGTGCTCGGCACAATCAAATACGTACTTGTGACTAAATCGGACATAAAACTATTGCAGATTAACCAAAACTGAATATATAGTATTGGTTGATCTGTGATCATTTGATGTCCAACTTAATCACAGGTATTTGACTGTCAAATTTTTGTTTGATTTTGCCGAGCACTAGTTGGACATGTTAAAAAAGCCTTGAATATCAAAATATACAATCCTGGCCTTAGGAAATATAATATAACAATATACTGTTGGATTAGAAAACTTAAAATTGTACATACTTTCTATCGCTATCGATATGACGTCTAGCAATTAGCTGCTAAAGTTTATAGAAAAATACACAACTCTAATTTCGTCATTAAACAGTTTGAAAGCATCATACGTTACACGTAAGTACGTACACAAAGTACACACATACGTACCAGATTCCTGATACTACGTCGTACGCATGCATGCATGCACATCAGAAACCCAAGAGCCGAGTTTTACGATTCTTTACCGTCGTCATTACAGATTCCCAAGTGCCAAGCAACTCAAGCACAATCAATGATCAATGCTAGTCAATTATTTGTGGCAAGATCTCTTGAATTTTTGCTGCCACTGCTAGCATGAAATCTATATAAGACCTCCCTCCCGTCCGTTCGTAGTCTACTCGTCTATTAATCAAGTACACACTTTTAGTGTATATACGTATACTCCAATTTTCTTTTTTTTATTAAGCAAACGCTTTTAACATCACAACGTATTGCTATCCATATTTTACATAAGATACCAGTGATTGAAGTATATTTTACTTAGAATTCACTTGAACTATCAACGGAAGTTACTCTTTAAACATTCAAGATTATTCATATAATACATAATATTCATGGATGCCGACGAAGTTGCCGCTGTAAGTAAGACTTTATGTTTAATATGCAGTGCATTTCGTAGTTTTGTATTGGATTTCATTTTAAAGGTTTTAATTTGGGCGGTTTAACTTATTAACACTCAATATGCTACTTTTCTTAAAGTTATCCAATTCTTTTTTTATAATACTTTTATGCTAAACTTCTCATTTATATATTTCAGATTGTTATTGACAATGGCTCCGGCATATGTAAAGCCGGTTTCGCTGGCGATGATTACCCACGCGCTGTGAGTAACTTATCCCATTATTTTGGAGAATTTACAACCGATTTCATCAAATCAAATATGGTTTATATACTTATTATGTTCACTTATGCGATAAAATTATTCTAATCTGATTTGAATGTAATGAATATTAGGTTTTCCCTTCTATTGTAGGCCATAATAAAATGGTTGGCATGGGTCAGAAAGATTCATACGTAGGAGATGAAGCACAATCCAAACGTGGTATTCTTACTTTTAAATATCCTATTGAACACGGTATTGTGACAAATTGGGATGACATGGAAAAAATTTGGCATCATACATTTTACAACGAACTTCGTGTTGCTCCCGAAGAACATCCTGTGCTCTTGACTGAAGCGCCTCTCAATCCTAAATCTAACCGTGAGATGATGACTAAAATTATTTTTGAAAAGTTTAATGCGCCTGCTTTTTTTGTTCAAATTCAAGTATACTATTATATGTACACACTATTTGTTTTATATATATATATAGTGTTGATTTATTAAATTAATGTCTATTTAATTAATAGGCCGTTCTTTCATTGTATGCATCTGGTCGCACCACTGGTATTGTTCTTGATTCTGGTGATGGTGTCACTTGTACTGTACCAATCTATGAAGGTTACGCTCTTCCCCATGCTATTCTCCATATCGATTTGGCTGGTCGTGATTTGACCAACTATCTTATGAGGATTTTTATGGAACGTGGTTATTCATTAATGACAACTACCGAACGTGAAATTGTTCGTGACATTAAAGAAAAACTTTGTTATGTTGCTTTGGATTTTGAGCAAGAAATGCAAACTGCTGCTCAATTGGAGAGATCTTATGAATTGCCAGACGGTCAGGTTATTATTATTGGTAACGGTATGTTATTTAATTCATAGGCAATTTTGTTTTTATTTATTCGCTTATGTACTTATATATATTTTTAACTCACAGTTTCCGTGCCCCAGAAGCACTTTTCCAACCTTATTTCTTGGGAAATAAAGCTGATGGTATTCATGAAACTATTTATGAATCTATTATGAAATGTGACGTTGATATTCATAAAGAACTTTATGGAAATATTGTTCTTTCTGGGTAAATTTATTTCAAGAATTATTTTTATCAAGTTAAACATATCTAGTTAATAATTAATCTGCTTTTTACATATCTCAGAGGCACTACTATGTATCCTGGAATTGCAGATAGAATTCTTAAGGAAATTATAGCATTAGCACCTTCTAGTACGCCACTATCTAGAATTATTATCATCTCTGTTTTAACTCACTACATCTACAGTATTAATGTGATTCTTTTTTTTGGTTTGAATTTAAATTTATTATAAAACAAGCCATGAAAATTAAGGTAATTAATTAATATACATAATTATGTTGGCTTTTAACAATTTATAAATTCGTTCAGGTTGTCGCCCCCCCAGAACGTAAATATTCTGTCTGGATTGGTGGTTCTATCTTGGCTTCAGTACGTATATAATCTATTCTCATTTTTTTTCCTGCTAT